GGCGTGTCCTCGTTCTCATTCCCGTAGTCGACGCTAGATCTTTCATCAGAGCACAAGGTGACAGCGGAGAGCGTACCAGGGTCAACATCCTCTTGTGTGATGAACAGCTCGTTCATGTAGTTGCACGACTACCTAGGTAGTAGTACTGGTGTGTGTTCGTATGGTTCTCCATTCTATCCGCGGGCTGGCAAGGCTTCGGAATTACAAGTACGTACTAACTAGGGAGCCCTAGCTATTCTTTCTTTCCGAGCATGTGGACAATTTGGGTTCCATCATTTGAGTGCCTATTCCAGGTAGACAATGATCCACTCGGGCATCCACCGTAGTAGATGGTCCACGGTAGTCTCGCATGCAACGCCGTGCCGTGCCAAACTAGTGCTGTCTCTGCAAGGCTTGTTTGGCGACCGCTCAATTGGAAACTCATTGCCGCTCAAGCTAGCGCGGCCGATGCGACTTTTGCATGTATAGTCGACGTGTCTGTGGGCTCCCCAAGCCTGAGTACCCATAGTCCAGTCTGCACATGTGCGCACCGCTTGTCTCTACGCGACACCTCTGGGCAGGGCTGATTGATGCTTAGTGAAGATACCACGACCCATTGCAGAGTCCAGAGGCAGCGCAGCGACGTGATTGGTGTCCGACGTGATTGGTGTCCGAAGTGTGGCGTCATGTTGAAGCCAATGGCTTGGGTATTGCGTGAGATAAGGTAGGGCAGCTCGGCATATCAACCTGGAGAGCTTGGAACTCGCGCTTTGTCGTGGGGCTCTTGAACCGACTTTCTTTTGGATACGGCTGACTATTAGCCCCGTCTCTGTATAGTATTGCTTGCTCGTAAAGTATGAAGGTGCTCCGTTTGCTAGCCGACTAGCCAGCCAGCCCGTCGGTGCTGACCGCCCTTCTCATATCATGAGCGAGCTGGCAGCCTCCATCCCAAACCGGGCAACGCCTATGCCAAAACAGCTAATCTGGCCCAGTTGGCATCGCCTTCTCGCCGCGTCGGCTCGATTCCGCCAGAGACCAGGCACCCGTACGAGTGCAGGCTACAGATATGCAGGCAGGCCACTTGGCACCCCTTGTTCCTTGTCTGCCAACGTGGTAAACGTCATGTGGCAGCGCGTCATAACCCTCAAGGCGCGCTTAGGGGAGCTGACCGTCATCGTCTCCTCTGCTCCCTGGGAATCTGAATCTTAGGCTGGTGTGGACGATGGACGAAGCAACTTCGATAGACGCTGTCAATTAGCCAGTTTCGAAATGTAAATTGGCTCTGCTATCATGTAGGCCGGCATATAACTTTTGGAGGATTGGGTGGATGCCCAAGTACGTTAATAGAATGATATTTGATACAAATAGCGACGCGGTCGTGGCCAATCCAACCTCAGCTGTGTATATGCTGGCTTGCGCAGAAGGATGATGATATAATTCTCAGGCCATAACAAGAGCAGCCGCCGTAGCCAGGGATAATGATATGGGGTACCGGAGTGTTCCGTACATGCATGCCAATGGTATTGAGATGCATACACATGCTAATTGCTGCCCACGCTGCAATTGGCGTCGTGTACCCAATAGAGCGAGCGTCATGTAGGCATGTATTCGCCCATGCTCACAAGTGACTGTTGTCACCGCAGATTGGTGGGGACGGGTAGACAAAGCATAGCAAGGAAGTACCCTCATCTCTTGCTGATGGTTAGTTAACAAGTACCTGGTACACACAAGTTTGTGACGTGTGGCTCATCGCGACCTATGATCGTTGGGTGGAAGAGCTAGTCGCCGCCGGAAGACTACCCGGTGATATTGCTGAGGAAATTGAATGGAGGGCTAAACACTGGGGGCTGCGTCTCAGTGAAGACACACACAGCTTGGCGACTGGCGATTTTGCACATGAACCGTGGCGCGCGCCATTCTGCTAGCCCATCCACCTTTTTATTCCCCGTATGCCAGCTGTACAGCGTGCTTGGACCCCAGTCGAGTAGTATATTGCTCCATTCACAATGCCGCAAACTTTACACTTCTCACAACTCAAAACTGTCGCATCGCGGCAGTGCACTCGCAAGCCAGCCTTTGTCGTAGAGTAAGGTAGCCCCGGGCCTGCCTGATGGCAGCGAGCCAGCCGATCGTTGCGGTAATGCCAGTCAGAGGACTCCGTGCTCAAACTAGCAGCATATCCATCGATGCTAGCAACTGCTGGCTAGTCCCGGTGCTAGACCAACCCGACCTTCTGGTGCCTCTGAGCCCTGTCAGAAAAAAGGGTTGTTGGAAGGTCAAAAAGGGGGGAGGGGTGAACGAGTGGTTGATACCTGGTCGTGAGCGCACACCGTGACCTGGAGACTAAGACGCAACTCAGGTATCCCTGCTCGCTGCCGCCGACTCCAACACCGTCGTGGACCCAAAACAGAGACAAGAGCTGCAATGCTAGGTCCTAGCGGGCTCTTCGAGGTGGAGAGACCACGCTTGACAGCGATGGGGTTTTGCTGCGGTTGTCCTGCACCTCTACCTGCTTGGACAAGTAGCTCGACTGACGTTTCGCTCTCCCTGGTCCGGCTGGCAGGGGTCGAATCACTGATGGCTCTATCCTTGAAAAAATCTCCATGTACTTGTGGCGCCTCCACCCCCATGCTTGCTCAGAACCCTGGCTGTGGGACGGACCATTGGGCTGGCGTGACCATGCGAATGCTTTCGTTGCAGTACTGGGTCTTTCTTCATCGAAAACGACAAGGGGTCGGCGTGGTATATTTCAAGACGAAGCTGTGGGTGACCGGACCGTCAACAGCCAATGCTCCCAGTGTGGCTTGCCATCCTTCGCCAGCCCAAAAGCTCTGTTGTGAACCCTTCCATCCCATCTTTTTCGTCACTCAACTTCCCACTCTCTGCTTCATTCTTCATTGTCGGTGCCTCGAGTGGCTCTTGATACTGTTAAAATCCCAATCTCTCCTGGCTTCTTCTAAGTCGTCGAGGCTGAATCCGAGATAGAAACGCCAAGGTCTTTCTCGTCTCTCGCCCGAGAGTTGTAGGACTTGGAGTGCACCTACCTAATTGCCTAAAGGCACCGAATTTCTCTGGGTCAGCGTGATTTGTACATGGAAAGTACAGAGTAGTGTAATCTGCTCTGAATCTGCTGTACGGTGGTACTTGCCTCACCGAGACTTCACTTTTTGTTCAGGTAAGCAGCTCCTTCCCTGCCATCGCCTCTCGACTCCATGTTCCAGTTTTGGCCTTCCTGCCCTGTTCCGACTGTTTTCTCGGCTTGAGGCTTCCTCTTTCACTTCGTTCCTTCTCGCATCCTCGACTCACGCCCCTCATCCTTCCTTGCCTATCCTTCCGCTCGAATCTCCCAAATACCTACGCGACTATTATCAAGGGGACACTGCACGCAAACTGAGATCCGCGGGCCAGAAGTCTCTTGGTACTCCTTTAAGCACGCGGATCCCACGAGAGCGGATTGCAGGCTTCTTGAAAGCTGGGCGTTGAGTCGTTGAATGCTCTGCCGGAGGCAGTCTGGCATTCAATTCCCCTCTTTCCCCTCCTCTTGCGGAGGTAAGAAACCGGTGTATAACGGGCAGATTCCTAGCTGGGCCATCTGATCATCCTGTCTCTCATAATTGCCATAACTATCCACCGACGAGACTCTATACTCCTTAATCGCATCGAGAAGAAGTTTCCTTGTCAATTGAGCTAACTTTGATAGCAATACGCTCGAGCTTGAGCTGAGAGTCTAACCGAGTTCCCCGGTTCAGCTGACATTTCGGCTGCATCATACCTACTAAGCAGACTTTTCGTTGAATATTGACTTGTTCGGTCTCTTGTGGACGAGTTTACATCGTGGACAGTCGGCTCGATCGCCCGCCGTCCCCTCCTATTCTGCCGCCGGATCTCTATCCGAATTCTCTACCACCGATTGTCATTGGGGCTGTTTGGGTATCAATCCCAGCCGGTCCCAACTACACCACGGTCGCCCTGGCGAACTCTTCTGTAGACGTGCGGCAACAGGCGCTGCCTCTAGTCAAGGACAGCCCTGAACCTCCCGCCACTGACTCCTCTGGGGCTTCAACGCCAATTTCCCCCAGCACACCCACCACTCCCTCGTGGCTATCCAAGACCCTGTCCCGCATCAAGTCTCCCAAAATCAACAATTTGCGATTCTTGCTTGGGAACGAAAAGAGTCGATGCGCTGGTCCTCGAGATCAGGAGTGCGCAGGTGATCAGGCCTCGATGTCGCAAAGGGGACCTGGCCATCGCTCGCCCTCTCGTCTCTCTTCAAAATCCCCTGTCGGTAATGAACAAGTTTCTTTCTCTCAATTCAAGTCGCAACGGTATGAATCGGTCGGAATCTCCCCTGAGGTCGGCCGTGCTGCTCAGCATTCCGCCAAGGCCTTTGGAGTCCATAATATCTTGAACCCTTCCGAAGCACATTCCATGGGCTCTGATTCTAGAGGAAGGCCACCTTCACAAACAAAGGAAACAGAGCCTGTCTACCCAGCATCTTCTTCGACTCCTTATGGTGTCCCTCGTACTTATTTCCCTGGCCATGCCGATACCGGCTCCGTACCGACGACTCCCGTTACCGCAGGTGTGGTGCCTACAGGCAGATATCCGATATCCGAGCGAAACTCCCCATCGACATCGTACCCTTTCCCTATAATGGATAACCCGAGGAAGATACTCAGCCCCAGGGCTCCCCGAATCTCGAACCATGGCCAGACTCACTCTCCAAGAGATCAAGATTCGCGACAACCCTTGGCTCCCAGCATGCTCCCCGCAAAACGACCCTATGAACAAGACACTCCCGATGAAGTTAGACATGCTCCTGGATTTCAACAGCCGTCAGGAATTGCTTCCGGTCCGCATACCCCGATGGTAACTCCACCAAGATCTCTTTCTCAGCCTGTAGCTCGCCCCTTGGATGCCTCCTATGTACAGCCGCCGACAATCCCACCGCCAGGAGAACTTCAGAGCCGATCGCATGGAATGCATACACCTTTGCAACTGCAGCATGGAATCACTGGGATGTCCACTAGTCGACCGCTTTCGGTAACGGAAGGAGCACTGACTGAGGGAACATCGTCATGGCCAGATATATTGCGCCGACAAGCAGGTTCGTTTGTTGGGATGGACTCCCAGCAGGCTTATATGACTCTGCCAGGCAGTGATACACCGATCCCAGTTCAAGTAGACTACTCCCAAGCATCAAAGAAAGCGGACGAAAAGAGACAACGAAATGCAAAAGCCTCGACGCGCCACCGCAGAAAGAAGAAGACTCTTCAGGAGGAGAACTTGAAACACCTGCAGGAACTGAAGGAAGAGCGACAGCAGATGCTGCAGCAAATAGAGGAACTCGAAAACCAGCGGGACTTTTACAGGAGCGATCGCAACCGGCTCAGAGATATTGTGTCCCGGACGCCGGCTGTAAGCAACCATGCAGCCGGGCCACCTAGTCCGGTGCTATCGAAGAGTATCAGCTTTGTGGATAGAAGCCCCTTAATGCAGTCTCATCACATTCCCACCCCTACTCAAGGTTATCTGAGCGAAGTGTCATCGGCAGAGCGGCCCGTACCGGTTCGGCGCACAGACGATCGCCCAGATTTCTCGCCTCCGATGTATGGTGCTCTGCCCGGTGGTCCGCCGCACAGCCTCCCGTCGATGCACAACCAAGCCTATGGCGCACCTCCACCGAGGCCCCCATCCGCAACTTCTTCAACGAGTGGAGAGAGACTGCCGCCGTTACGAGTGATGGAGGGACCGCCTCCCATGTCAGGACTGATCCATGGGCATCCTCAAGAACAAGATCTGAGAACTGGGCAGTGGAGGGCAGCGCACCCATCCCATCTAGAAACCGGTTGGGCAACTGCGCCAAGAAAGCATCAAGACAGCCCCCGCTGGTAACAATTTCAAGCCGCCTGCTGTGCGACTTCGAATATGGCTCTCCCCCTGATATGTACGTGCTACATCGGCAATGATGTAGCGCCTCACGGACCAATCTCACCCATACTTATAATATCTCATCATTTCCATGAGACTAATTTTCCCCTTTGGACTTGGACACAACAACTAATTTTTTTTTTGGAGTTTCTGGCTTGTACCAGCGCAAATACAATCTACGTCGGGCAACCGATATTTCTGATTATACGCATAGTAATTCGCCTCTACCACACTATTCATTTCTTTAATCACACCCTTGACACTATCATTTTATACATTCCTGTTGTCCGGTTAACCAAGCAACCGGCCTCTATCTATGCTTGCTTAATCTATCTGTGGACTTGAGATAGCAGAGGGCTTCTTCTCTCTTCCTCGTTTCTATGAGAATGACTTGCTCAACCGCAAAAAAAAGTCGAATATCAAAATAGAAGAAGTTGAATGAATCAACTTTTTGATTCAATACTACATTCGTTTGTCTATCTATTTATTTGTTATGAAATGTTTGCCCTGAGGGGTGTCCACCTACGACCAGCGAAGAGATACCCCTAGTGGATCAATGCTATACACGGAACAACGTTTTGAAAATCAGAAAAATCATGAATTTGGGAAGAATGTAGTATTCAATGGAGGCTATTCATTCATTATATGCCGCCATTTGCTCTCATCATATGTTTTTGGAATTTGGTATTACTCTGGCTATAGGAATAAGGCAGATATATAATCAGATTGATAAAATTCTTATTTCCCAAAAAGACTGAAAAGTATTTTTCTAATATTAAGTCGTAAAGGAATTCAAATTACCAGCGATTTCAGCACAATAAGGAACTAATGAATAGAGAGGAGCTGCGTAGGAAGGACCAGTATACTCGTACCTTGGATCTCTTGCTCAAGTAGCCACAAGCACATTGTGGTCAAATAATTGTAAAGTTTCCCTGGTATAGAAAACAAAATGCTTGTGTTCACTTTAACAGGCACCTGGAGAATATTCTATGATATCATGAAGTTCCAGTTCTGCTCGAAGCAGGTTAGATTTGCCGCAGTCCAGCATGGCACGTACCATATTCTATCGGAGACGACAGATCCGATCTCCGAATAGTGGGGCGATAGGCCATATTTGAACCTACCTCGAATATCAGAAGTAGCTTCAGCCTAGCTCTGGATATCTCTGGTGCTGGGTGAACATTGAATCCCACCGAGGTCATATCTAGCAGTTGCGGCTTCAAGCAAATGTGAAGCCAAGTGAAACTTTTTTTTTTATTATGCACGGTATCACTCACTAGAGAATTATTCTACCATGTTAGGAGGGAGATGCATGGCAATTGCAAAGCTGACGAGGCCTGCTCAAACTGTTGTCCACCGACTGAGCTTCGTTCGGCAGTCTAGTCGTTTTCTGTCATTGTCGTCGTCTCATCTAGAGACTGAACTAACGGCACCAAATGGAACAAGATGGACACAGCCCTTGGGCTTGTTTATCAACAACCAATTTAGTGAAAGTGTTGGAGGGGACAAACTTACTACTACCAATCCATAGTGTGTATTGCCGTTTGTTACACCTATTCCTAGATGCAGATGGATGAATTTGCGGCCCTTGATCTGGTTGCTGACTCTTTTTACATCTGACGCAGCACGGAACAGGAAATCTGCTCTGTATTCGCAGCTGGAGAGCCCGACGTAGGCAGAGCAGTTGAAGCTGCTCGAGAAGCACTTAAGCAGCCTTCATGGAGGTTACTGTCTGGCACTGAGCGGGGCCACTTGATGAACCGGTTGGCGGACTTGGTAGACGAACATGGTGAGACGCTTGCTGCCATTGAAACGCTCGATAATGGCAAGCCGCTGTCCATCTCACGAGGTTACGATGTGCCGCAGTTCTCTGAGGTGCTCCGCTATTATGCCGGATGGGCAGATAAGAACCAAGGTTCGGTGATTGATATTGGACCGAAGAAGATGGCTTACACAATCAGACACCCTGTCGGCGTATGCGGCCAGATCATCCCCTGGAACTATCCCCTTGACACGGCGGCGTGGAAACTTGGTCCTGCTCTGTCGTGCGGAAACACGGTAGTGCTCAAGCTGGCAGAGCAGACGCCATTGTCGATGCTATACGTGGCGCAGCTCATACGTGAAGCCGGTTTCCCCCCTGGAGTCATCAATATTATCAATGGGCGTGGCGGAGAGGCGGGCGCTGCTCTGGCACGTCACCAAGAAGTGGACAAGATTTCTTTTACAGGCAGCACAGCAACGGGCAAAGAGGTGATGCGCATGGCAGCCGGCACACTCAAGGCAGTCACTCTGGAGACGGGGGGCAAGTCACCGCTGATTGTGTTTGACGACGCGAACCTGGAGCAGGCTGTGAGATGGGCCCACGAGGGGGTCATGGCCAACCAAGGCCAAATGTGCACGGCCACGTCACGGCTGTTGGTACAAGACGGAATCTACGATAGGTTCGTGGAGAGATTCAAGGCTTTCACGGAGGAGACTTCGATCCTGGGAGACCCCTTTGACGGGAGGACATATCAGGGGCCTCAGATCAGTAAGGCACATGCAGAACTTATCATGTCGTACATCTCATCGGCTCGAAACGACGGAGCTGAAGTCTTCCATCCTCGCGGGGATTTGCCCCCAAGAGGCTTCTTCGTCCCACCGACTATCCTTACCAATATCAAGACGAACACAGCGGCCTTTCAGGGGGAGATCTTTGGCCCGGTAGCAGCCATTGCGCGGTTCAAAGGAGAGGAAGAAGCTGTAGAAGTCTCCAACGCGAGTAGGTACGGGCTTGCAGGCGCAGTGTTCACAAAGGATCTGGGAAGAGCACATCGTGTGGCGCGGGACCTGGAGGCTGGTATGGTGTGGGTGAATAGCAGCAATGATTCTGATACACGAGTTCCGTTTGGAGGGGTGAAGGAGAGTGGATTTGGAAGAGAGCTTGGTGAAGATGGACTGAAGGGCTACTACTCTGTCAAGGCGGTGCTTGTTAACTTGACGGATGAGTGAGTTGGAACTGCCTGTATGAACCTGGGTGTAGCCTAAACGAAGCACTGATGCGCAAATACTGTTGAATTCCCTGTCCACTTTTTACCCTAGGTAGATGATAACAGAGTATGAGAATATTTGTTGATTTATATAGAACTGCGGCTGCCAACAATCAAGGTGGAGGTACCGAGCTACAAAAGCACATGCCGCTAAACCATCCCTGTCAGCTGCAGCTCCCAGCTACCCTCCCCCGCCAAATCTCGCCAAGCTCCCGCCATCCGACTATCTGGCCACAAACTGCAGCCTCGTGCATTCGTCGCTGGAGTCCACCTCGATGGCTTCCTAAACCTGAACGCGCCCAATTCCAAGTCAACGGCCGTCTGTTTCCTCTTCTTGTCCTGCTCACATCACGCTTTATTCTTTCTTTTGGAATTGGAAAAAGAGGCGAATAAACAATCCGCACGACCCGCGATACCTAATCCTGACATCATCAACCACCATGGCACTGCCATTTCCGCAAGCCAGCATAAAGCTCGACTATCCGCTGTACGCAGTCGGCTTTGATCCTCAAGATGCGAACCGCTTAGTTGTTGGCGGAGGTGGCGGCGCTGGGCGCTCTGGCGTGGCCAACAAGATTGTGCGTGACGCTCTGTGATACCTTGTGCAATCGCCTGTCTCGCTTCCAATGCTAACCATCCTCCTGCTCTTTGTAGTCCGTCGTTGAAACCGTCGACCAGGGCGAACTGCGCGTAGCTGGCGACATTGCCCTTTCCCGCGACGAGGACTCCGTCATGTCGCTCGCCGTTGCCGACAGCGCAAACGACCAGCTGTCCTATGTCTACGCCGGCGTCAACTCGAGCCCCAAGGAGATGTCCAAGGGCAAAAACAACCACCTCCGAACGTTTTCCGTCGAGCAAACCAAGTCGCGAGCCGCCGGTGCTAAGAACCCCGATGTACAGGTCGCAGAGGTGTCTCGAAGCGCCTTGTTCGCGAATCCGGATGCCGACACTTACCAGCCCGTACTGCGCATCTCTGGATCCATTGGCGCCGCCGCCACGCGCATGTGCAAGGAACCTCAGCTCGCCATTTTTGATGCCTCGGGGCCGAAGCCCAAGTCCAAGGGTGTCTTGAGACTGGACAAGGATGCAGAGGATCTGGATATTATCCAATGCGATGATGGAGAATACTTGCTGGCCTACTGCCACAAATACGAGCTATACCTGGTCAAGATTGGCAAGAAGAACAGTGATCCAGAGCTCATTTTCACAATGACAGAGGATCATGGCGAGCTGGCTGCGTTTCGCTCGATTCGATTCGTGACACCCAGCTTTATCCTTGCCGCTGCCAATCTGCCAAAGTCGAGCGGCGTCATCCTCCAGGGCTTCCGATTGCCGACCCCAAGCCACGACAAAGCGCGGATATCTGCGACAGTGCGTATCCCCAAGAATATATCTGCGACCGCCCTCGCTATTGCAAATGCATCGCCGCCTCCGTCTCCGTCGGCTCCCGTGGGCAATACGCAGTTTGTCATTGCGGTAGCCGGCAACGACTCCTCGATTTACTTTTATAGCATGGACCACAAAGCTCTTGCCTCTATAGAGCTTCTCTCCAACCTGAATCCTCTCTATACACTCAAAGACACTCACAAAGGCGATAATATCACCGGTCTGGCGTTTTCGAACTTCATCCCTCCCAAGCAACACCTCACCCAGCAGTTCCTCAAGCTGGCAAGCATCACTCTGCAGAGTGGCGTCACTGTTCACAGCATCGCTTTGAAGCGACACATTGACGTATCCCCTGGAAAGCCGGTCGATGAGACGGCAGCTCGATATGTCACCGCCCTACGTGCCAAGGCACCTTCCAGACGACCAGTCGTCATCACCCTTTCCATCATTATCCTCATCATGGCCGTCATCGGACAGGGTATCATGGAAATGTATGGCATGAGCAAGCCCATTATCAATGCGCAGAAGTTCCTCCCGTCCTGGCATGGCACCTTGCGCGACCCGGCTCATCCACCGGCTTTTTTCAACAAGGACTTTCTCATCTCAAAGCTAGCAGGTAGCGGCGTCAACACTGCCGAGACTCTCGTTATGTGGGAAGCAGACCATCCTGTTGTAGATGCTGAGGACAGCCCTGGCGGCAAGAAGATTGCCTTGGATGTCCACGATGAAGAGGTTCATGGGCCCGCCAAGACATGGGAAGAGTTACCTGCCGCGCAGAAGAATGCCTGGAAGCAGAAGCTACAGTCGGCAGGTGCGTGGACTCAAAATATGGGCGAGAGTGTGTTCAGGGGTATCTTGTTTGGTGAGCTTGCAGGTGCTGTTGGCCATGCTGTAGCGGAAGGGCTGGCTTAATATGGCCATTTCCTTTACGTCTATCCCCTATTTTTGTTCCCATTGTAACGATATGTCTCGAACGGTGGTTTATATCTGGATTTATGAATGCAGCAGCTGGGAGGAAATTAATTAATTGCTCGGCATATCTACTTTTTAACTAAAATTGGGGGGTCTGGGTCGAGCAGAGACGAAGTTCTGAGCCCCTTATAACATTTAGTCTCAAGATAAATAGGTCTATAGTGAAGCTGTTAAGTGTACATGGATAATCAATCTCTTTTTCAAAAGCCATTCTGTACTTATATCCACGTCGCGCCGCAATTGCCAGGGATATACTTGGCTATATCCATCGCCAATGCCATCTTGACCTCTGGACAGTATTTCCACGTGTGCTGCCTCAGCTCTGGCGATCCCCAAACAGGGCTATGGAGAAAAGAACCGCTGCCACCAATGTGGTATCCCATTGGCTCGTAGTATCCTATTCTCCAGTCATCTACCCCTTGCATATACTCATTGTCGCCGACATGCTCAACGTTGGAGCTGCTTGAGCCATTTACAGTCTGCTCTAACTGTCCGCCGTGCATTTCGCCAGAAAATGTCAGTGACACGGATCCATTGGCCACTTTGCCGTTGGGATGGTGGGCAAGACGTTCGGATAGCCAAACATCCTCGGGCTCCGAGCCGTTGGCGCGTCGCTGGTTGCGCAGGATGTCGATGATGCGGCTCACACGCCTCAGCGACAATCCTCCATTGCCGCCCCATTGCCCTCCGGGGTTCCACGGCGCGCCAACCCAATCGTACTCCAAGAAGTCGTTGAGATTCAGTCTGCTATTCGCGCAGAGCATGGAGTCTGTTTGGAAAACCAGCAGCCACTCTGCCGGTTGAAGCACGACCTCGTACAGCCACAGCGTGGTGAGGAACTGGCTGATTTCCTCTTGTCCGTTTGTGCTCATGTTTGTGGGGATGTATGTGAGATCAAGTTTACCAGAGGCAACCTGGTTCTGAATGGCGACAGAACGGTTGACTGACGCCACCGATAGGGGAGAGCCCATGAAGCGGAACTGCCAATCTGGCGGTACGACGGATATAAAGTGTAGCAGGATGGGTGCAAGAACAGCACTGGGGCGGTTTTCGATGAGGAGGGCTACTTTGGAGGCGTTGTATGGGTTGATGCGTGGTCGTTCTGGATATTCGAATATGATGCGTGGAATGTACATGGAGATGTCAGAGTTGGAGACTAGATACGGGAGTGACGGGAGGAAGAGCCTGGTATACAGTTAACTGGCTGGAGATTCAATGGACAGCATCGAGAGTGCAAACCAACACGATGACTATCCACAATATCACGAAACGTCTTCGTCTGGTATGCCAAAGAAATGCCATTGTTCTGTTCCGCAGGAATTGAACATAATGATTGGCGGGCATCCCGTCGAGCTAGTTGGCTGGATGCAGTCTATTGGCGGCTACAGATGCATGTGGGTTGAGGTATCACATTGGGATTATGGAAAACGTCGTTTGTTCTCCGTTTATTGTTATCATCAGATGATGGCTCCAACTCTTTGATCACTCTGGAGTCGGCCAGTAGGCGAGATGTTGAAGTAGGTACGTACTTCGTTCCTTCCTAACGCAGGTGCCTGTAGAAACTTTTTCTTCACCGCCTGCGTCAAATCGGAGGCAGATCAAATTTGGTAGCTGGATGAGTTATTGTAGTTGAACTGCTTCAACTTGGCGCTCCAAATCAATTCGAACGTGGGCAGTAATAGCTTCTCCCAATTGACCAGCAACCAACCATCGCCACCATGTCTGGATTCAACAGTTCAGGGGTTCTCTCAATCTCCCCCAGTCGAATACTCTTGCCAATCCTCTTGGTTCTCATGTGCGTTGGATATTTAGTTTCATACTTCTAATGCAGTGTTCAGTCAGAGTTCAGCTGCTAACATCCCCCTCCAGGTGGTATTTAGGCCGTTTGCACTCTCAATATGAACCCGCTATTACGTCCACATTCTCCTCCAGGTTCGAAGAAGCACGGAAAATGGTTCCCAATGTGAAGCTGTACTGGCCAATGCCACCTGCTAAAGACCCTCGCGCGGCTTATAACTCGTCAAAGCTTGCTCTTCTCATCGAAGCTAGGCCTATGCCTCACCTATCTCCGCTGATACTACACATGACAACGGTGGTACCGCCTGACTGGCGATTTCTCTTTATCGGCTCGCGTGAGAGCATTCACAGCGTCAGTCAAGCCTACTCGATCAAGCACCAACAGGTCATTGGAAAACTGGACTTGATGGAGCTTCCTCCTCCATGGAGCGTTGCCAATAAAGAGGACGTGTTTAGGCTGCTTACCGATTCGAGATTTTATGATGAATTCTTGCCAGGAGTAGAGTGGATCTTGAAATATGAGCATGACAGCATTCTATGCGCAAACTCAGAGACAAGCTTGGATGACTGGCTTGGCTGGGATTGGGCAGGTGCTTCGCGGTATGTATTTGATGCTATGCTGAAATATTGTGAAATATTGCTAACATAACACGCACGATGTAGAAATGATGACGACCGTTTCTCCGGCAATGGTGGCCTCTCTCTCCGTCGAGTGTCAGTGATTAAACGGATCCTCAGCTTTCAAGCACGCTTCAATGACTCGGAACCGGAAGATGAGTGGTTTGGGAAGCGTCTGTGGGTGCTACCCGGAGCAAAAGTTGCATCTAAAGTAGATGGTGCCATTGCTGTTGAAGATGTCTACATGGAGAGGCCTATGGGCTACCACATTCGCGGCGGTGGGGAAAACTTGAACGAGAAGATATGGGCGGATCCGTCTCGCCGAAAGGAGATACTAGAGTATTGCCCGGAGATAAGCATGATTATGGATATGAAACTAGAGCGGGAGAGATGTCCTGATGACGATGGGAATGGTGATAGAACGCTCGCTGATGCCGAGGTGGTGACCACGATTTTGGAAGAAGACGGAGACGCCAAGACGATTCCGAATGATATCGAGGTTATAGTGCGGCCACCGCAACCTCCGCCTTTGCCACAGCTTTGGGATGGTTCTATCACCACAGTAGGTGTTTCCATCACCACAGTAGGTGTTTCCATCACCACAGTAGGTGTTTCCATCACCACAGTAGGAGCTTCTATTACTACAGTAGGAGCTTCCATCACCACAGTTGGGAGCCCTTTACGCACTGGCATAGATTAGAGTGGGTGGCAATATCGCCTGTTTACATATGCGGCTCGAGAAGAAGATTATAGTTAAGTTGCACTAAGTAGCGAATGCACCAAAAGATGTAACAAACTTTATTGAATTGAAGGGTTGAGTGTGAGAGGCTTTCTCTTACAGAACATGTTGCAATTCTCTCAATCTAGTTGTTTTGTACTGTAAATGAACAATTCTCCCCGCAAAGCACATAAAGAAACTCCATATATAGTTGTAATGCAATTTTAGTTTATCGTGACTTGACATGAATCCGTATTGATAGTTTATCCAAAATGAGTAGACTGTCATTGGTCTTTTTCCGGCTCCCAAGAAATTATCGATCCTATGCTAACTTGGAGATGTCTTCCCCCTTAAACTGAAGCGAGCGCATAATTGCACGTTTTGAGGTGGTTTCTCAATTTGTCAGACCTCTTGAATGGGTCCTTGGATTTCTTGCACTTTGGGTGAGGGCAAGGATGACTTCCTTTTGTATGTGCCTCCTGTATATGACGTTTGAGGCTATCAGGTCTAGAATAGGTGAAATCTTTTTGGCAAGTAGGGCACTTGGATGAGCGGTTCCTGAGGATACACTTGCTTGTCAGTGACAGGTGATTGGAAAAAAAATTCACCTCATACCCTTGGCTCAGACTGACCTTGGTTCATCCAATGGGATACCATCATTGGAGATGTGTCTTTCGAATTCCATGGCTGGCTGGGGTTGGATGTCGGTATCATGTGGTAAATGAGGAGGTTGTATAGATGGGGGATCTATATCTGGCTCATCCGTATGATGACTCTCGCCAGCTACATCTTCAGAGGCATCTGCTGGTATTGCCGTTGATGTAGTGAGGGTACTTAGGTCCCCAGCGGTGGTGAACAGAGATGGATCTATCAAAGTACATGTACCCGACGAGATAGTATATGTATACTGATGCAGTAATTCTATTGCTGATTAGCAGCTCGTAGAGGGAAAACACCCTCAACAGTTCTTACCTGGGAGTTCAAGTAAATGCTCTTGACCATTGTCCGATAAAAACGTCTCGTTTCTTGGGTTTTGGACGAGCGGATTAACACAATACTCGGTATGCTGTTGACTGCCAGGGCGTAGTGGACTGTCGGGGCGTATTGGATATTGACAGATGGAACAGACGCCGAGAAACCCCTCCGCAGTAAGAAATACGGCGTCCTTTGATAGCTCCTCGAAGGAATTCTTCAGCAGCTCATCCGAATGCCCAATCCCCGCGGTAGCCTCGCTAAACTTGGCGGGATGAATCTCGCCGGTGGACTCATTGTGCGAATCGCTGCCTGTGTCGTCTGCGGGGATGCCTGGAGATGATGCTTCTTCATTGGCCATTACTATCTACCAGATTGGCCAATTCTTGGGGATTTGAGGCCTTGTCGAGGCTTGGGATTTGTGACGTCGTGACGGATCGATAACAGCGCATGCTACTTTATATGCTTCTATTGCCAAACAAGGGTATATAAGAACGTTTGAAGTAACAGTTCGAAAGCAAAATCAAGCATTATAATGCACATAAATTCATGGCGTATCGCTCGCTCGCTCACTTGAAGAAGACCAAATGCAGAGGAAAAACAAGTATCTCGAATTGGATTGAAAGGGTTGTGGTGCCAAAAAAAAAAAAAAAAAAAAAGTCAGCCGCGCGACGACTTTGACGTTTGGTACACGCATTTTGGGGTGGAATATGCAGGGTGGAGGGGCAATGTTGGGGTGGGAGGAGATAATAGGAGGTACCCGTGGCCATGCATCTACATCGTCGGCTGAGTACCTGTAGCACCATCGTTAGCCGGACGGTTCGTAGGCTGATGACGTAGAAAATACAGCGAAGATAAAAGCGCTGGATTGATGGGATACTTGCGATGAAGGCGTTTTTGGAATAAAAATCTATACAACTACACTCCAAAAACGATCTCAAGTTTCCAATTTGCCAGGCTTCTTATTACTGTGGGCTCTATAGTGCTCATCTCTCGCCAATCCCAAGAGCCTCAAGGTTGGATATAGCACCTAAAGAAAGAATAGATCGGCAAATGGTACAGATCTCCAGGGGACATTCCTAGAGGAGCAACAGACCTCGAGAAGATGGGCACCTCCATATCGACCGCCGATGTCCCTCTTTTCTGTTGCTTATTTTTTGGTTTCTTATTCAATATTTCATCATATCTCGACAAGGAAGCAGAGAGTCGTGTATCGCAGCCGAAGAGCCCATTACTTGCTGCAAATCAGGCATTAGCTACCCATACTGTAGTAGGCATAGCTGTAACTGAAGCCATACTTTTTCGGATGCAACGCCGGCCACTATCAGAATTCATACTCGTAGGATACCTAGAAAACTACATGCCTATAAACTATTCCGGCAATACATTTAGATGCCACACTCATTTACTAAAGTCAGGGTACCTATAAAACCTTCGTTGTTATAACGCAGCGCAGATGATTGACACCAAATAGTATGCAGTCGTCGTCTCCGAATCCAAGTGTCGGGTTAAGCGTTCGCAGACTTTTTATAACCACCTTACACATCTTTCTGCCAGCCGGATAGCTGCAATATTATCACAGCACACACTCTCATCAGCAATTCCAATATATTGCAAAGAGCGTAAGCCTCTTTACTTTACTTTACGATAAGCATTCTTACCCCCTCCCTTCTCAACACACGTTGTCTTTTTTAAGATTCCTCTAGTGCCGGCTGTCAACCCGGCATCTGCCAATAAGCCCCTTTATACACGCAAATGTAGACTTTACTATAATAAGTCATCATAAGCTTCTGACAAAGGAGTTGATGAGTATACCAAAGCAAAACACGACGCTCTGTGGCGTTGGGTGCCTCGTTCTCAAGAGATTTGATTGGCACGGAGCGTTGAAAGGGGACGCTGCTTTTTCTTGTTTCCTTTTTTCTCTTTTCAAGCTGAACAAGTCAAAGTCAAGTCCCATAAAATCCTTTGGCAAGAAAAGACGACGCTTTAGCTTCTTTTCTTTGAGACTTGATGAGAAGTAGAGATGCAATGAACCATTCTCCAAGAATCTTAGGTGTGTACCTAGGTTTGTAGATATATGCGCATCGCCAATATTCTGCACGCTCAACTCGATTCATCAGTAGCCCTGCTTTCCCTCTCCATTGATTTCCTTTTCAATTGAGAAATGAAAGGAAGAAAAGAAAGATCAATACATTTAGAATTCAAAAAGATGAAATGCCAAGCGCGCCGTTATCAGTAATGCTTTGCACCTCAGAGAGTACTGTGTGTGCAGGAAAGAGCTAAGCCAATCCTAGAAATAGCCAGCCGAATCATGATTCCGTAATTAACCTACGCAAGGGCACCGGGCACCAACACATAGTCAAACATGCAGTGGAAAGAAGAAGAGAAAGAAAAAGAAGCGATGGACAGAATCAGAGAACGAGGGAATTGGTCAAAGAGAGAAAGGAACAGAGGGGAAAAGACGAATGCGGCAATGCCATACAAAGCCCGGCTTTGCATGTCAGCTATCCAAGTAGCCTGCCAATTTCCTCTTCTTTTGTCTTACTTCCCTACGGGCGTTTCTCGAAGGAAAAGACAAGGGGACACGCAACAAAGAACCTGCGCTAAGAAGCAAATGCCACAAAATAAACGCACGCCACGACAACACCCTAATCAACTGCAACGAAGCCCTGCTACTACTGACAGCTAATCGCCGTGGCGGCGCCCACCTTTTGCCCCAAACCCACAAGGCTGGAGAGGTTCAGCATAGCCAGGATCCAAGGGAAAACGCCATGCCAGGTCAATGCAGCTCGGCGCATGATCTTCTACCACTCAAAAGAGCCGTGGGCTCGATGGCGCCGCCAACTAACGTCAGCGCTGCCGAGGGGGCGTCCAATCAAACAGTGCAGGGCCGCTGACACGAGGCGACAGGAGCAGAGGCGGCCGAATCGGCAGGGCGAAAGAGAGGACCATCTGTGCTGTTTCATCTGCTGAATGAGCTGCTCAGAGTGCTGTCCCATCCACTGGAGGTCTGAAAGTGGACAAGGGGTTCTGCTTGTAAACGCAAACAGCAGACGATGTAGAGACCAGACGCCAGATGTGGGCTTGCGGTGCGTAACTTCGCACATACCCGGCTAGCGCAGCCTCTCGATTGAATCTCGGTATGAGCAATAGGATAGATAGTAGTACCTGGTACTTGTAAGCCCAGTCCATCGTACGTATCGTAGTCTATTGGGGGGGAGGGAAGCCGACCAGCCTAGCCCCGGCTCATCCATTCATCCATACTAGCAGCTGTATGCGGTCCGGACCCCGGTAAGGGTGTGACAGCAATTTGCGCACGCATCCCATCCGCCGATTATCACCAAGTGAGATCTTTCAAGAAGATCAACAGAACGAGCTTGGACTAACGCACTTGTCAAGAAGCCTATATCGATCCAATATAGCCGTAATTTACTACCAATGGTTTGTGAGCTGTTGCTTTTACTGTGGATAGCCCCTTTTGAAGCAACGGGGATACAGCACTGAGAACTGAAGCGGTGAATGCTATACTCCATAAGACACTGTAAAAGACGTATTCACAACGTCTAGTGCCGCTAGACAGCTAGCTCAGGTCCAAGAATCGTGGTTTGGCGGCCATGTCAAAGAACTTCTGGGGAGATCGAAGTGTTACGACTCGTTGATCTGAAAACAACAACTGTGACGTCCTAGAGTGGTGCTTGTTAGGTAAATACCTAGATTCGCGAGTCAGGCTGAAGCTGAAGCAGCTGATCTCAGGTGGCGAATAGACAAATGTTCAGCCCGTACGGAGGACCGGTAACCAGGCCCATTGACTGCAGCAACATGACTGGATCCATGGGCGCCCTCCTTTGCTGCTACTGTTGCATTCTGATGCAGGAAGAGCATTCTAACCCTGGTTTCTCGAAAGGCACGGCTGTACCTTCCTTGTTAACCGCATGTTCCATCCAGACTGTCGCCTGCTCCTCAGTCCATGCAATGCTTGTGACGCACTTTCAGACCTGTCCCTTATCCTTGTAGGCTGTAAGACCGAAGTGGCTAATGCCAACAGGATAGCCGGCTTGCAACAGAGAGGGGAAGAGATAGCCCCCCAGGCAAACGATACAAAAGAACATCGGATAATTTTCCGATAAACCTTGGTTATCTCGTACATGCGAAGTGATGATTGACCTCTTGCTCAATTCACGAATTCATAACTCGTCGTGGTGTGAAACGTCGGCTTTACCATCCTCTGCAGTGCCACGATGCAAGATGGCGCCAGCAGCTGGCAGGTGGTTTGCACAAAGACTGAAGTCGCCAAGATTACCTAACCTGAACCGTGAATCTCCGATGCAACCTGTTGACACCATGGCTCCTCAGTAGTATGCTTGCGGGGACTCAAACGACAAGCCTCGTATGTCTCGGAACTGCCATCGCTGATCCTGGTACTGCTGAAGGCTTCTTCGCTTAGCTTGGAAGACACTACTAGTAGCTCTGCTAGATGGTGCTCGTACTTGTAGTAGTGGTAAGCGAATACTGCTAGCATAACAAGGACAATTGGACCAGTCCGCTCAATGCAAAGTGCAGATTTCGTAGACTTGATGTGTGCCCGCGGCAATGGATCATCAGTCGGGGTGAAAGTGTTTGCGTCGCCAGCGTGAAATTCCCATGCTCTTTGCGGATGACTAACAGCATGTCCAACGTCCTCCAGTTGCTTCCAGTAAAACAGTCCAAGTCCAGTCGCGGGAACTAGTGACGCACAGACGAGTTGCCACCACGCAAATGAGCTGCCCGAGCCCAAAGCTACTCTGGCAGAGAATGCTAGTACTTGTAAGCATTGGGCCAAGCCAATATCGCTACTCCGTACGAGTACAGTATAGTGAGACGGGCGGAGGCAGTGGCTTGGTCAAGGCTCCCAAGGCTCGGCCAATTGGCGCTGGTCGACTCGCTGCGAATATGCATGTTCGTGCGCGTGCCGGTCCTCTGCGTTTGGTAAGATGAAGGGCGGCCCTCTGTAGCTACACGTAGGTAGCATGCTGTAACATGTAGATGCCCGATGGGACAGCCATGGCGGTTGGAGCATTCTCCTCGGTGCCGTACTTGTACTCGTACAGTCCAGGGCAATCGTGTACAGTATGGCACATATTATGGAGAATACTCCGTAATAAAGGGTCTGGTACGTCTGGTTGCCAGCATGAATCCACCACATGCTACGGCGCATCTCAGCCGAGAGAGTGGACCCCAGCAAATGGTGGCCCAAGGTTCAGACCAGGCAGCGGAAATCGGCCGGGGGGCTCGACCGCTAATCAGTGATCGAGGAGTACTTGTAGATGAAATCCGCCGGGATCCGAACGTAGGGACCAACAACAACAATCTCCCCTTTCCTCGTCCCTTAATCCTGGCTTTGCAGTACCGCAGCGTTGGGTACGAAATATCAAAACGCTCCAGGGGCAAGGCTCTTCGCTGCTGTCAGTCTGTTTGGCGAATCGACGCTCCTCGGAGAGCACCCGGTATACTTGGCTGATGGCACGACGAAGCAGCCCCAGGAACAGCAGCAGCAGCCGGGCAACCCTGGGGGCTGTGGGCGGCGGCTGACATTGGCCTTTCATCTTTGCACATGGCAAGCGCTGAATACCTACCTAGATAATGCTAGGACTTGATAGTATAAGAATACGAGCGAGTTGCACATTCTTGTAATCGTAGTCCTGGCACGGCGTACGTGCTCTGCGCGATTCTTCTCCCTATGCTGCTGTACTTTTGGACACATGCACTTGGGGCGGCCCCCTTTGATGCAGCCTCCGAGCTCCTTTCCGCACCCGTCTCATACAGACAAAATCAGGGCCAAAGAGGCCATTGCGGCCAGCCTAGCCAACCTTGACTTCGATAGGATTGGCAGGCAAGCGGAAAGTTGAAACAGTGGAAAGAAAATTCATGCATGGAGGGTTTTAGCTGCCGAAAACTTGCAGTCCAAGGCGTGGGCGAAGCAAGCTAACAGCGTGTGGGGCCCGTCCTGATCTCTCCTTTCGCCTCACCAAAACTTGTTCATTCGCTGATCGCCGACCCAAGAGGAATCGCTGTGCTACGTCTGCACAGCCTAGACGGAACGTACCGCTGCTAGCGAGAGATGGAAGAAATATGACGGAGATGCTTCCTATAGCATGCTCGACAACAGCTGCTTGGCACAACAGCCTACACTCGCTCAGCTCATCGCGTAAGTTGTCCGTTTCTGCTGGACCATAGGAAGGAATACCTCCCAGAATGTTCGATACGCACTCGCAGCCGCATAAAGGGCTCAGGAACGCGCGTGGCTTGCGACAACGCAAGGGGAGGCCGACCTGAATGAAATGAGAACTGGGGCAAAGACACCCCGTTCTTTGGAGCTTCGAGAAGGCGATGGCGGAGAGCAAATCTGGAATATTTCGTCAGTAAAGAGTCATAAAGCATTGAGCAAAAGTATCATCATCATGATCGCAAAAGATCGAATGTTTCTTCGCAGCGCTTGACGGTGGTAGCAGTACTTTGGGATGGAGTACCGCGAGCAGCGTTTGGAGAGGAGCTTGGCGATACGTGGGTACGAGAATGGAGATGGCCGCTGGTGGGTCTTGCCGTTCCCATGTCAGCGAGGAAACTGGTAGCACTACTCCAGACTCCATGGCGCATGCTCCCAGGCATCTGTAGAGCTACTACAGGAAGTACTCCGCAGTGTCAGGTAAGTTTAGTACGGTATCAATAGCAGAGGCAGGTAAGCAAAGGCAGTGGTTCGCTCAATTTTGGGGGCTAGAAGTAATTCTTGGATAGAATTCAGTAGCATCTCTCTATTCGGCTGCTGGGGTTTTCTTCCCCTTCTGTATCATAGAGTAGTTCGAATCGTAGTACTTCCTCTATTACTGGCCCAGTCCCAAGTTGTCTGGGAGGATTTCTCAGCTTAGTGCTTGCCAGGGACTATCTTGTCAATTTTTTGGGGCATCGACAAGGTTGCTTTGTACCAGCTAGGTAGAGAACGCCATGGAAATGTCCTTTAATTGCCAAGAGCGCCATGCAAGGCAATGTGTGTGGAAGTTACAGCCTCCAAATGTGCAGCCAATGCGCGCGCTATCGTAACTGGCGTGGGCTACGGCAATCTAGAAGTGCCGTCGGCCTGTGAAGATCGATTGAAGCTGTCACCGACGCCCAGCTCAGATATAATTTCTCATCTTGCTTTCTTCTCTTTTTGCCTCGCTCTCTTTTTCTCTCTTCTTCTTCTTTCCATGCTCTACCGTATATTGGCTGGCTGGCCACGAGGAGAAGCATCTCCACAGCTTTCCCAGCTACATTTGCCTCTGCTCCAGTTCCAGATCACGATTGCACAAAGTACCTACCTAGCTCCCATTGCCTTTGATAGAGATGACTTCTCCAAAACCTCCAAAGAGAGGGGGTTTAAGCAAACTAGCCCCCATACCCTGTGCGCTAGAGATGGGTTAGTCCCAGGGCAAAGCGCCCACCATCAGCGAGCCTGGGTGCCGTCCGTTTTTGCCTCTTCCCCAAGCCGCGGTATTCTTGACGCTTTGGCATCTCAGTTTGCCCCAAAAAGAAATTTTCTTTCGCAGTTGCTCTTGTTTGGCGCATACATTCAAGAGTAAGCCCACCTCTTGATGAATGAGTAGATGTTGAAAAATTGCATTTACCAAACCATCTAGAGAAGAGAGGCAGGCGCTATTCGAGCAAAGTGAAGTTGCATGAAGTAGATACGCCAGCCAGAATCACGCTGTCTTTTGCAGTCTATCCAGCGATAATGGAGAATCTTACGGGGCACTACGTAAGTATGTACAAGAATTCGATAGAGAGACCCGTCCCTGCTATTGAGCGGACGCATGGAATCCTCTTGGCCCGCGGCACGGCATTCTCACGCACTCCTCCAGCAACCTTGCTCACGGATGTGATAGGCGCCTCTCCCGTGCCAGACTAGGTGGACATGCATGCAGCGCTGATACTGTACGAGTACAGTACATTGTGTATATAAGTAGACGGCTGTTATGGGCCGTTCAGACGAGTGAATAATTCCAAACGTGTACCTGCTTGGTGCCCCATACAATCTACCAGACAGTATACAGTAGATACCATTCGCCTCGGTGCTTACTTGTACGCAAAAATGCTTCGCATCGGCCCCCGTCCCGCCGCTGTCTTCTCTGCTGCCCCCAGCGACGACGACACGGAGGTACTCGTACTCGCAGCGTCGGCAGAAGGCCTGCCGTCAGTTGGCCAGCATCGCCAGCCATGCGTACCGGTACCTTGGCGACCTGGTGGTTGCGAATGGCCTCGCTAACCCGTGCCTCACAGCTTTTTCTCAGACCGGGATGGAGAGAGTGGATGGCAGGGATTGAGCGCCATGTGGGACCCCCATGCTAGGCATCCCTGGCCAATCTGCTAGCGTTCCCACCAGAACTCGCCGTGAGAGAGCCCTACCCACGGCCGAGATCAGCGATGCCAGAGCCCAGGCGCCAGACAGACAACTGCCAGGCCCAAGGGGACCCCCGAATGATCCACCGCCGGTCGCCAATCCCAGGCCCATCCATGCCATGCCGTACTTGTAGGTAGCAGACCCGGATGTCTCTAGTTGAGTGAATGCTGCAGATGTCATGTCTCTCTGTCTCGTCGTCGCCCGCTGTCGAAGGTTACCCAAGGTTTACATGCAGCTTTTGCAATGCACAAGGAGCACGTAGGTTTGTTCCCTGGCACCGGGCGATTTGCTCAAGAGAGGACTGCGTGCAGCTACAGTGAAATCCTACTTGGCGGTATTAGTGAAAAATAACAAGGAAATGGAGCAAGATTTGATACTTCTCGCACATGCTTCGCTTCCGTGCAGCTCAACCTCTGGAAAGCCACCTCTCAGTGTGGACAACTCTAATACAGCGCTAGTGCTTGGATGTATCGCTCAACAGGCCCTAGAGCCAAGCCGCACCGCGCGACGAAGCTCTGTCAAATCTTTCCTGGTCTCGTCTGCCCTTCCAAAGCCAGAGTGGCATTGCCGTCGAGTAGAATCTGAGTACAGTACTGGTCGCAGCTGCAGGCGGTACCTGGTACGGCCGTGCAGGTACATTCTGCGTGCTCCATCTCCATCCTCTTCCGTCCTGATAACCCCCCCCTCCCTCTGCTAGTGTCCGCCTGACTACCGTACGGTACACTTTGCTCGATTGCCAGCCGTTGGCCACCTTCGCCCTGCTGCCAGTTCTGCCGTGCTCAACTCGGGGTCAGGCGCTGTCTCTGGCTTTTGTGCTGCTGCGAATGATGAGCTGAGCCGCCCTCTCTCTAGTACCGTACCGTATCGTGTTGTATCGTGTTGTATCGGATACCGGGGACAAGGCAGCGCGCTCGTGCATGCGCCGTGTCTGAGTCTGGCGCTGCCTCGGGCTCTGCTTGTTAGTGCTGCCAGGCCGGCGTCAGGTTGTCGCAGTACCGCGCTCGACGTATCAGGTACCACGTCGTCCCCCATCAGGCTCTGCCCAGCGCAAGTACCCTGGTATCTTTTCCCTCCCAGCCCACCCCCCCAAGCCCACGGTAACTCTAATCCGCTTCGCCTGGCCTCTCTGCTTGTCTTGCCTCTCTCTCTTCTTTCGCCCTCATTCTCCAAAACACCACCCTCGTCCCTTTCTCCTCTCCCACCTCGTGCCGGCCTGTCGCTGAAGCGATTTCGTTCCCTCGCAGGCTTTTGCTTCAACGCGCAGGTGCTTTTTCCTTTCTTCTTTTCCTGTTTCGATTCTCGATTCAGCTTGGAAATCCTGGTTCCAGGCCTTCTCGCATCCTGAGCCAGGCTATCCGCCCTCGTGTTTCGCCGCACATCCACTGCTTCACCATCGCAATTTCTGCTAGTCGCCCTTCTTCCTCTGCTTTTTTTTTTCTTGGACGACGTCGACGACACCTCGATCTTCTTTTCCGAGCGCCCCATTGACACTCGCTCAGCCTCCACCACCGACCATCATCGCACCCTCAAGTTTCGCAGCCCATCCTTGCATCAGCTCTGCATGCCCGATCTGGTCAACCAACCTTCGTTGTTTACCACCACGCCGAGACTCTTGCGTTTGGAGGGAATCGCCACCACCACACGCCCATTCCGGGTCTCGAGTTCGAGCGCATGTTATATCTCAGGGCCCCTATCAAGTACGAGTACGGCAAACTTTTTTTTTGGCCGGGTGCATTCCCCACGAAGCTCGATATAGGCGGGCTAGGAGGTTGCTAGGCAAATTGTAGCATCCACTGCGACTACTTGCTTTCTGCCTAGGCAACTAGTCATCCGCTCGACTGTCTGCCAAACGTCAATACTACTGCGTGCACCGCGTCCAACTGCGAAGCTTAAAGCGTCGACTGGTCGGGCCTCTTTTCGATTAGGCCTACATCGCGGGATCCTGCCTTGTTTGCGCTCGTTTGATATACGAACTCGTTCATACAAAAGCTTGAGGGCGTAACTGGCGCCAACTCGAAGCGGCCATGGCTGCCAATATGCAGCATATGGCTGGGGCAGGCCAGATGATGCCTCAACAAATGCGAAAACCAACCGCAACCCAGCTACAGCAGGCTGTCTATCAGAATATCCAGCAAAACACACCGCCATTAAATGGCATGACTTGGCAATCAAGTTTCACTGTTAATGAGCGAATGGGAAAGACATTGGAGTTGTACGTACTAGCCCGTCTGCAACTCGCTTTTTTTTTTCTTCAGTAAACTGACTTAACATGGTCCTAGAATTTCCAATATCACTCTTGCCATGAACACTCTTGACTACAGCCGAGCAACTGATTTTGGATGCCAGTTCGAACGAGAAGTGTTTCACAAATCACCGACCAAAGTACGTTCTCAGCTATTCCTACTTTCTTTCTCCCTCTCGCCAGTTGAAAAATCACCAAGCTAATCTATTGAATCAAGGAAGCGTATGACCAAGCCATGGCAAGTAAGACAATGGACTTTTTCAAGAAACGACAGGCCAACGAACCTGGCCTTCAGAACAGCCTCAATGCCAATGCCCAGGCTCAAGCGCATGCCCAAGCCCAAGCCCAGGCGCTCATGTTGCAAGCCCAGATGGGCCGTGGGCAAACTCCCCAGCAAGGCTTCCAGCACATGTCACATCCTATGCAAGCCACTCAGATGCCCCAGCAACAGCAACAGCAACCATCGCTGTTTCAACAGCAGCAGCAGATTGCCATGGGAATGGCCAACCAAGCCGGCCGCGGTATAGGGCCTAACCCCCAGGCGATGGGCATGGGTGGCGGCCCTAATAGAAACATGTTTCCCAACGAGGTGGCGAGACTGGCTCAGGCTGATAAGAACAAGGTCATGGAACTTGCAACCAAGATGATGGGTCAAGCTACAGAGCAGCAAAAGGCTCAGACACGGCTCCACTTACAATCAAGGCTCACAGCTCAGCAACTTGCTGAACTCCAGACGCAAGGGAGAGATCCTCTTATTTGGTGGTACCAGAATCAGGCATTCCAAGCCCTCAAGCAGTCTTCAAATAACATCAACCGGTTCCAGCCACCTGGTCCTACGAACCCAAACAATCCCCAGGCCGCCATGATGCAACAACAACAAAGCCAAAATTCTCTACAGCAGCAGAGGCAAAACATGATCAACGCCGCCCAGCCGCCCAATGCGGGCCATGATTTCCCTCCGTTCAACCCAAGCATGGAGAGCATCAAGGATCAGCAGGTGGCTGGCCTGATGGCTCAAAAAGCGGGCCAAGTTGTCGTGCCGGCGAGCAATGGAAGAAATGTCACTCCTCAGCCTGGGAACCAGAACATTCCCAACCAGCAGATGCAGAACCAAACACCTCGTACTGCTCAGCAGCAGCAGCAGCAGCAGCAGCAGCAGCAGGCTAAGCTGAACCAAGCTGCTCAGCAGTCTCAGGCTTTACAAGCACAGGCGCAAATGCAGATGCAGAACCAACAGCATATGACGGGGAATATGGCTACATCGCAGAGCCCAGCCATGAATACTTTGAATACTCCCGTATCAAGACCAGGCGTTATGAACCCCATGACCCCGCAGGGTATGGGCCAGAACAGCATTCCCTTTGGTGATTCACGATTTCACCAGGGGATTCAACGGCCTAACAATCCCGCTTTCAACGCTATGCTCGCCAATATGACCCCAGAACAAAGGCAAGCGGTCAACGGTCTTCCCCCGGAAAAGCTGAACGAAGTCATGCGTCGATGGCAAAGTCAGCGTCAGGAACAGATGGCAAATATGAATGCGAATCCGATGATGCAGCAACAAATGGCCAATCGACCTCCGAATCAGTTCAACCAGAACGGCAACATGGCCCCTGGTCTTCAGAACATGCAGCAAATGAATGCTCCTGGTGCAGGCAACCAACAACAATCGATGCCAATGAACCGCATGCCAGCCCAAAACGCCCAGCTTCATTTTTTGATGGACTCGATGGATTTGCCTACCACCATATTAACTCAAATCCAGGGCCTGCCTGCAGAAGTCAAGAAATGGAGAGATTTGAAGGCTTGGATCAACCAAAATAATACGCTTCAACCGAGTATTCGTGGCCAACTAGCTGCTTTCCAACAGAAGCAATTCCAAATGCTCATGCAAAGGCGGGCCGCCAATGCGCCCCCGCAGCCTGGACAGGCCCTAAACATGAATCCCGCGATGTCAATGCCAATGGCCAATCAACAACCTGGAGCGCAGCGACAGATGGCCGGTTTGCCACCACAATTGCTTCAAGTATCCCCTCAGGAGATGATGCATGTCCGAAGCTCGAAACCTGCGTTCGCCGGCGTTCCTGATGATCAGCTCCGAGGGATGATTCTCGCAATGAAGAAGAATAGTTGGATTCAACAGCAGCAACAGCAACAGCTGAGGATGCAGCAGATGCAGGCCCAGAACCAGCAGATGCAAAATGCTACCGCAAACAATATGCCTGGCATCCAGGGCCCTCAAAACGCCATGCAGATGCAGCAATCTCAACCTAATCTCACTCCTCAACAAACCCAGGCGCAGACGATGCCTAACGCCATGAGCCAGACTGCCTCGATGCAAGCGGTCAACCAGAAGCAGCAACCAAGCGCAAACCAGGCACGCAATAATCAATCTCAACCTGCGAAAAACCTTAAACGCTCTAACCCTGATGATGGCGCCGATACTGCCCCCATGAAAGCTTCCTTGTCTGCTGCGCGACAGCCGCCGGCGCCGGCGGTGGCACCATCGCAACCAACCCAGCCTCCAGGACAAAGGTCAGGGGCGAAATTCCCGCCGCAACTTACAGCTCAACAAGAGGCACAACTAAATCCTGAACAACGAGCCAGGTATGAACAGCTCTTAAGGATGCAGAGCAAGGCGCCGGGCCCACCCTCAGAGTCCCTGGTGCGCCTCAAGATGATTGGACAAGAAGAGCAAAAGCAGTTCGCTCAAGAATCCACTCTGGACATTCCAATGAGCCCTGAAGAGTACGCAGAAACCGCAACGAAACTCAAACGAATCGTCGTGGACATGGGAAAGGTTGGCCGAGGACTTAGCAAGTGGTATTCCCTCACTCAAGATGACGCGCGTGCCAAAATGTTCTTTAGAACTGTAAGTGGACTGGATTATCGTCGAGATTTTATTTCAACATGCTAACTTGACCATAGCGATTGCGTCTCATCAAGCAACACGTGGACGGCGACAAGATGGAGGTAGTCAAGGATACCTTGAGCATCCGCTCTTCCGAACTGGATCAAGCCCGCGCTATGCTTGAGAGTATGGCTAAGGATCTGGCTGCTAGTGTGGCCGGCGGCCGACACATCAAGCCTGGCGGCCAGGCACAGGCACAATCGCAGCCGTTAGCTCAGCAGCAAACGCAGCAATCACAGCAAAAGAATCTGCTAACGCAGCCGGCTCCTCTGAATGCCGCTAATCTAGAGAAGAACGCGCAAGCGATGAACAAATTGAGCCAGCAGAAGCAGGCCAACAAAGCAGGACAGGTGCCGCCACCTGCACCAACAAGTGCTCAGCCGCCCTTCCCATTCGGAGCAGCAACCTCGCCTGATGGTCACCCTACGTACATGAGCAAACCTAAAGAAATCAACCTGCAGCTACCGCCCTCCAGAAAGAAGCAAAAGCTCGCAAATTCTGGCCCATCTTCTCAAGTGGCCACTCCCTCGCCGCAAATCTCAAAGAATGCGTCTCCCGATATCCAACGCCCGCAAGGCCCACCGAAGCCCGTACATCTCTGCACGGAGCCCGACTGCGACCAGGCTACCTTTGGATTTCCTAGTAAACAAGCTCTCCAACATCATATCGATGAAGAGCATACTAAGCCCAGGGCAGACCCGGTAAAATTTGTGCAAGAGAATCTTGCCGAGGCACTGGGCCTAGAACCAGACGGCACCGTCAAAAAGGAGCAGTTTGCAGAGGGAGCACAAGCTATGAGTCTATCTGCCTCAAAACAGGGGCAATCCTCTGGAAATCTTGTCGGCACACCAATGTCCGTGGACGGTACTGGCATGAAGCGATCGGCCAGCGTCGCGAGCAAGGCCCAAGATGTGAAGGCCGGCGTCAAGTTGGACGCAACTGCCAAGGCTGGCGATGGAAAGCAGAAGAATGGCGCTGCAATGCTCGTCGCTGCGGCGGATCCATGGGCCAACTCGACTATTGACCCTCAGACACTCCTCCAGAACTTGGGCTTTGAGAACGGGCTACCAAATATCATCAACGAGGCCAACATGTACAGGTCTTTCACGCCAAAGGATACACCAGAGTCTAGCAAGGACGGCGCTAGCGAGCCTAACAGCGATATCTCTGAAGGTGCTGCGCTTGACATTGACATGAACTGGGGTACTCTTGATAATGAGGCTCTAATGGATTTCACCAATGCCTGTATTAACGGGGAGTTAGACTCGACGGAAAATCTAAAAGCTGCGTTGGTTAATGTCGATCCAACCCTTCTTCTGGCCAGGTCGCGGGGCGTTCCGGACTGGGATACAATCCCAACCGACTTTGACAAACCGTTTGAGATGGATCTCGGAAATGGTCTCTACTCTCTCGGTCTGTAAAGAAAAATCTTCCTTTTTTTTTTTTTTTAACAGAATAAAAAATTTGTTCTTTTAGCGAAAGCGAGTTTGGACTTGGAGTAATGGTTGAGAGCATGCTGCTTAAAAAGCCGCAAACAATGCTCTTTTCTCTTTTTTTTTCGGCTCCTACTTTGCTCGCTTGTTCTTTTTCGTACATGGTTCTCTATTTCGGTTGATTTAGTTGTTTGGAGCCCAGGAAAGGACCCAGGATATATACCCAGCATTACGTCATATCTGATATAACAGTGGTTGTTTATTGGACAACAGAAGGAGGAGGGAGAAGCTGAGTCGAAAAAAACAAAACATATGGGATGAATTGTTGGAAGACGAGTTTTGGTTGGCGTTAAGGCTAAGAATGGCAGCAATGGATGCCACTGCGCAGTTTTACTTTTATTCTTCTTCTTCACTGTTGATGTCTTCATTTTACTATCTGCCTTTCTGCTCACGGCCGTTTTCATTTTCTTTTTTCTTTTTCTTTTTTCATCTTTCTTCACACGATGAAGCCGAGGTGAGATCAGTGTATGGGCGGGTTGTGTAATGATCCAGACGAAAGGATTGGGGTCTAATTTGGGGTAAAATGGAAGCTTACAAGAACTGTACCTTATTTGTTGTGACGTACACCCGTTTCAATGGTTGTTTTTTATACGCAGCGCGGACTTGGGATTAGTATGCAAGGGCGTCATCAGGATGACTTGTAAGCAAAAGAAGAATGGCATCTATTTTCTTCACATTTGGTTTTTCTGTGCTATATAAAAATATAAAGCTGTTTCACCATTGCATCGTGAATGACTCGACACTGAGGTCGGGTTACGTAAGGATAGCAGTGTCTCTGGGTGTGATTTGCATGTGACGAGATCTGATGTCGATGAACTTGGGGATCAGATCAATGGAGCCCAGCCCTGCCCTGGTGCGTGTGGTTGTTTTTTTTTTCTCCTCTTCCTTCTTTAGCGTGGAACTCGGGATGGGGCCCCCGTCGGAGAAGCAATAGAGCTCTCCACATTCTTCTACTCGTGGCTGAAATTCCGCACTACTCCTAGATGATGCTAGTGGAGAACGTTCCGACGACACGGGTTTCTCGTTTTTTGACGGGAAGGAAAACGACGCGGCGTGCTTGATATGATGCTAGTCTACATTTGGGCAAGGCTCGTAGGAGAAGCAGCTTGAAAAGCTACCAAGTATGGAGAACTTGGTGGGAAAAAAAGCTGAGGGCAAGAGGCCGTTCCTGCCTTTACAGCTTAGAGTGGGGAGTTTTTTTTCAGGGTTGGTCGCGTTGTGAGAGGCAGGAACGGAGGTTGAATAGCGGCATACTGGAGGTAGCTTCGTTGATGGGAGTCTTTTGCAAAAGAGGCTATGCTTTGCGCGCCGGGGTGTCTTTTTTTTTTTTATCCGGCTTTATTTACTTTTTCTTTTTTTCTGTTTATCCCTTTTTTTTTTCTATTTGGGGTGATTTCCTTATTAACGCGCTTTTGCCCCTTTTCTCTTTTTACTATTGTGCTGTGATTGTGACCTTGATGAATCAAGCCCAAGTGACTTAGTGCTCAATCACGAGGAATTTGCGACTCTTTTTTGGGGGGAAATCCTTCAATCGCGCTTTTGCATTCACATTCACGTGTTTACGCCAATTGCATTATAAGTTACTTGTATCCAGGTATCCATATACCACACACATCTGTCGGACTGATGTACAGTAGCTTCTTATCGATTCATCTACACACACGCGACCTGCCCATCGCCACTAAACAACACACACCCCACTACCACTCCTCCATCTGATATTCACCTTTTGCGCGCGCGACTCTTTCTCCATCTTACCATACTTTTCATACCGTTTTTTCTTTTCTTCTTCTTTTTTGCTGCCTCCCTTTTTTTTTCAAGTCCCAATTCTTTTTGTTTGTTTCTAGGTTTATTTTGGGAAACAATGGAAGCTAGTTTGTCGCCCATGAAGCGACGCGCCGTGCTCGGTGCAAAGGACGCGAACGCGGCTCTGGCAACACCGAATACAAACAAGATGGCGAGGATTGGAACGCCAATGCTTTCAACGCCTTCAGCTCTCTTGGTGACTAGCCCATTGAGGGAAGTTTCATCAGAAAAGGGAAAGAAGAGAACAGCGGAAGAGGGAGGTCCAGAGGTTGCGGATGAGAGTCCCGAGACCAAGAAGGCGTGTGTTGATGGTGTGAGTGGCCATGTTATTGCTCGCCATGGCTGGTTTTGACCTTGCTTGCTAACATGTTCATAATCCAGGCTGCGCGATCACGGTCACCTAGCATTGAAACAAGCTCTCTCTTTGATACTTCCGCCGGGGACGCTTCGTGGGCTACTGCGCCAACAGAACCAGACACGGCCACAGCAGCTGCAGACACACCACTGCTCGCTACAAGACCCAGGGCAATGACAAGAGAGCAGGCAAGAGAGGTAAAATTCCTTCTCCGTCGCTTTCCTCTTCTCCTCTACTACCACAAGTACAAGAGCTAATATAGAAGCTTTACCGTTTGTTGTAGAAAGCAGAGATTCTCCGATTGCGACTCGGCCTCGCAGGATACAAGCTGCGCACCGGCCAGACAACAATCCCCCTCTCCAAACTGCAACACAGACCCCTCCCCCCAGCAACAATAACACGCAAACGAGCGAGCACCACCACCCACGCGAAACCGACAAATACACACAGCAGGGCCCAGAGCGCGGATTCAATCCCGCAGGTGCCCGCGCTGTCGCAGCAGTCGATCACCACGTCGGTTGCTTCCGACGCCATGACCCTGCCTGCGTCTCAGGAGAGCGTCGTTGTAGAGACGAGGGGCAACACGCCTGACGGCGCCGAGGCGCAGGACGAAGCCGGAAATGTCGAGAGAGACAAGGCCGTTCTGCTTCCCATTGGCGAATTGGATTCTCCTTCTCAATTCTTCCAATCTAGCCCGGCGCCGGCACCGGTATCTTCTCTGAGGAGTACGTGTACGGATGTGGCGTCAAATAATGTAGAAAGGTCATGATGCGTGTGCTATGAAAACTAGAATTTCTCCTGATTTTCACATCTTGAAAGAAGATGAATGGGGCAGCCAGTTCCTTTTGGCTTGATTTCCGGTATCAGGAACACTTGCATGTATTTGTTATAATAGGTAAAAAACACAGCTCTTTAGATGGCGATCATGACGCAATTTCACACGAATAGCGTAACGAAACTATGAAGAATAGAGATGGGAGTTATCATGAGCATCATTTCTTCATTCACTCAGTACTAATGTGCCTAATTCATGTAGTAGTCACACAAGCGACTTGGCATCAAGTATCTTTGTATATTTTTTTTCTTCTTCTTTTCTTTTCTTTCGTCTCGCTCCGAGTTTCGTATCCCATCGCCATCCTATCAACGCCCTTATTTGACACTTTTTTTCGTGCCACATGTAGTTTATCCCACTACTTACTATATGCATATAACCTTAACTTGACAATCTCAAATCGCTTTCACGCCCATCCCATTTCACCCAAACTAAAAACTCCCCCTTTCCTCTTTACTTAATCGACCAAGATCTTGGGCTCAATCTCGCCGTAGCTCTCAAAGAACTGATCAAACAACTTGATGGCGCGTCCCACGTCCGCCGTTCCACCCGTCTCACGGATGCTGTGCATGCTGAGCTGCGGGTTGCCCAGATCGAGGGTGCGCATGCCCAGTCTCGCAGCCAGGCCGGGTCCGATGGTGCTGCCGCAGGGCGAGTCGTTGCGGACGACGAAGAGCTGCAGCGGGACGCCGGCCTTGCGGGCGCACTCCTGCAGCATGACGATGCCGGGAGAGTTGGTGGCGTAGCGCTGGTTGGCGTTGATCTTGACGACGGTGCCGCCGTTCATGGCGGGCTGGTGCGAGGACTCGTATTTGCCGGCGTAGTTGGGGTGGACGGCGTGGGCCATGTCGGCGGAGACGAGGAACGAGCGCGAGAGCGTCTGCTCAAAGGCGGTCGACTCCTCGCCCTCGTGGTGGACCTGCTCATAGCTGCCGTCGCTGGCGGCGTCGCGGTTGCCGGGGAGCACAGACAGGCGGCGCAGCACCGAGGGCAGCAGGTTGGAGTGGGCGCCCTGGGCGGACTGCGAGCCAATCTCCTCGTGGTCGAAGCAGACGGTCATGCGGATGGTGGAGTCGTTGTCGAGGGCGTCGGCCTTGCTGACGGACTTGATGAGGCCCTCGACGGAGCAGTAGGTCATGCCCAGGTTGTCGAGGCGCGGGGAGAAGATGAACTCGTCGTTGATGCCGCCAATGACGGACTTTTGCGTGTCGTAGAGGACGAGCTCGAAGTCGACGATGGAGGCGACGTCGGTGCCCAGCTCGTTGGCGACGACGTCGAGCACGGCGGGGTGGTGGCGCACGGTCATCTTCTCGAGGGGCTTGAAGTCCTCGTCCTCCTCCATGGCATCGTCCTTGGCAGGCTCCTCGGGCTGGGCGCCCTTGTTGAGCTCGGCGGCGGCAAGGCCCGTGATGGGGAACAGCTCGACCTCGTTGTTGGGGTCAAAGTTGGACTGGCGGTGCAGGTGGATGGCCAGCGTGGGGATGCGCAGCAGCGGCTTGTCGACCTTGACCAGCTTCTGCACGACGCTGTCGCCGTCACGGACCAGCACGCGGCCGGCAAGACTCAGGTCGCGGTCGAACCACGAGTGCCAGATGCCGCCGCCGTACGTCTCGACGCCGACCTGCAGGTAGCCGACGTTGCTCTTCCGCGAGACGGGCTTGACGCGCAGGCAGGGCGAATCCGTGTGGGCGCCGACAATGGCGACGGGGTTGCCGGGGCGCCACTTGCGGCCGATGGCAAAGGCGAGGATGGACGAGCCGTTGCGGGTGAGGTAGTACTTGCCGCCGGGGCGGAGGGTCGAGGCCCAAGAGTCGCGTTCGCGGATGAGGCTGAAGCCGGCCTTTTCGAAGCGGGCAGCGGCAGACTGGACGGCGTGGTAGGCTGTTCGGGGGGGGCATTGTTAGCAAAGATGACGTTGAAGATGGTTAGACAATGGACGTACGAGTGGGAGAAGCATTGACAAAGTCGACAAAGTCGAGGGCCTCTTGTGGGGGAGCCATGATGAAGGCGGTTGTGGAAAATGGCAAAGTCGAAGATGCTGCAAGGCCTGGATTGGTTGTGGTGAGAGAATGGGCTGCTATCCTCGACCGTCTCGCCGTCAAAGAGCAGATCATGCAGAAGAGACCAGATAACAGATGGAGGAGAAGGAGGAGAGGAGAAAGAGAAGCGTCTACAGGGAGCTGCCAAATCAACCCAAGAGGTGCGGAGAAGAGGCAAAAATCCAGCCAGTTGCTGCGTCTGTCTGTCGCCAAGTGTGGAGGGGCAGCTCTGGAGGGGTCCTTGGGTTGGGCAAAAGTTCCAAGCGGCCGCTGGAGGGCTTCGGGATGCGGCACTGCGGGGCCGGGCCATGGCTGCCGAAGTGCCGGGTAGCAATTACACGTACCTTGACCATACAGAGGAATGAGGGAGATTAAAATAAACAAAGTACAAGGCAAAATAAGCAGAGCAATTGAATTACCGAATCTGTGTATATAGATGTTTCCATACATATAAATAGGTGTATGCTCGAAACATATCTATGCTCCATTATGAGGTTCTTGGAAGTTGATGTATACTATTCTTCAGATATAGGACCATCCCTGCGTTATCCCCTTTGTTCACTATCTGCTGGCCGACCTATAGCCCTTATCGATTTTATCTATAAACTATCAATAAATGTAACGTGAGCATATAACACCATCACCTTTTGCATTACAACCGCTTTCGAAAGTCTCCAAAGGCTGAACAATTTTGGCTCACAAAGAGCCACACTCGTCCTTCAGGGCTAGAGCTGGCATGAGATTTACGCTACCTATCATGGCGTTTTGGTGTATTGTATGTCTTTTTTTCAATATTCTCGGCATTATTTAATTCTATACAAAAGAAATTAAAATTAAAAGAACAAAAACTCTTTGCTTCAAACGGTATCAGAAAAAAAAAAACAAGAAAAAAAACAAGCGCGTGTTCCTCCCTCCTGATTATATACGTATTCCGTCTAATAAATTTTCCATTTCAAACCAGCAGTAAATTTCCCATGAAATGCAAATAGTTGTAATTCCATATTGATACTTGGCCTCGCCTCCCCACGATTTAGAGCCCGAGAAACTCTTCACTTTCGTCGCTCAATGGTGTCCATCACCACCGTCTCGCTGTCAGTCTCCATCTTGACTCCTCCCCTCCCGTCTCGCTTCAATCCCAAGCCAGGGTGTCCGAAGCAGAGCATCGACGCGGCCAAAAACACAAAGACGCCCTCCAGAACGATAAAGGGAGTCTCTTCCTTGATGAGCTTGCCGTTGTATCCGTCCTGCAGCTCGGCAACACGGTAGGCGCAACGGGCCAGGATGAGCAGCGTCGCCGACGTCAGGCCGGTGAAGAAGGCCGTGAGGCGCCAGCCGAAGCCGGAGCCGCGGCCGGACCGCAGGTAGCGGAACATGTAGTCGCTAAAGGTGATGATGAAGAGGACCAGGACGATGACCTGCAGGCTGAGACCGGCCTGGGAGATGTCGACGCCGGCCTTGTTGGAGCCGGTGGTGTTGGCGGACATGGCGCCGCCGGCGGCCTGGAGGACGAGGCAGACGATGTCGAAGGGGATGAAGATGTAGTAGAAGAGCTGGGGCTTGAAGCGGGACAGCTCTGGGGCGAGGTAGGTGATGGACTGTGAGAGAGTTACGTAGATGGAGGCCGTGTAGAAGACGGGGGCAATGGTGAGACAGACTAGATTGACACAACGGTTAGTCTTGCAGTCGAAATTGAAGGGATAAAACAGCATCTCTTACTGATTTGGATCAAGAATCCAGGATAAGAAAAGGGATTGTTGTGCAGGAGGATTCTTCCGATGTATCCGATAATCTCAGTGATGCAGCCGATGAGAATGGGGACCATGAAGCCAAAGGCCTTCCACCGGAAACCGAGATAGAAGTGAACCAGCCCGATGGCGCCAAAGAGGGCGGCAAAGACGACGTTGGCGGCGAGGGAGGGCTGGTAGGAGAGGATGCTCCATTCCACGGGGCAGTTGTCCAGGTTGCACGTCACATCGGAGCCGAATGTGATGATGGGGTCGGGAAGGGGTTGCGAAGGCATTGTGACGACGGTGAAGGCGGTGGTGAATAAGTGATGGTTTGTCTTCACACGATCGAGTCCCCTTTGATTTCTTGTATCCTGTCTTGGTGAGGTTGGAGGTTGAAGATCGGAGGGAGGGTGTGCTGGTATATATGTAGTAGGTTATATCACCTCCGTAGGGGTATCGTCGAACGGCTGAATATGGGTATAACAAAGAACTTCTCGCTCCCAGGTCCACGGGGGGGCACTAGCTCCTTATATCACTTCATACGAGACAGGAAGAGGACGTGGAAAATTAGCCCTCAGCCCGCTCAAACTGGATCCGCGTAACTGGCTTCAGCTCACGGCCCCATGGCTCCCACGTTTGACTCTCCTCGACCCCATCAACCCACCACTCGGACAAGCGACAAGCGCCCAATCGAAACAGAAACAAGGCCCTTCCTATGCGTCATCCGCAGCAGTGCCTTATCAGCAAGCCCCCCTGAACCTGAACCGATCTTACTGTACCTACACATGTCTCCCCCAAGCCGGGGCCATGGGACAAAAAAAACACCAGCGGGCCCGCGCCTCAGCCATTGGGTAGGGCTTGGCGGTTCACCAAGACGGCCAGATTCTTGCCGCGCCCAGAAAGCAGTGCTAGTCACTCCAGTACTCCGTAGGTGTACGTGTATAGGAAACAGGGCGCTTTGACGACAAATGGACGCGCATCCCGCGGCGTGCCGGTTTGTGGCTGAGCTGGCAAATAGACCTCTCACACGTCTCGACGATATTGCACGCTCGATGGAGGACCCAGCCAGCAGCTCGCACTCGGATCGGGCCCTGAAGCCCACAATCGAACAGCATTAGCCTCTTGTTCTTCCCCGTTTTCTATCTTCTGCTGTCTCCTCACCGCGGTCATCTGCGTTTGCCCAAGCCAAGAAGCTGGCCATCTAAGCCACGCTGCCGGAATTATCAATCACATAACCCGTAGCGCTCGGTCCGAGTGCGAAACGGGGGGCACGGACTTCAGAAACCCGAAGGATCGCGGGATTGCTGTGGCATGTAGCATGACGCGGTCAGAGCCCAGCCCGTAGGCGGTAATAAAAAGCGGGATCTGATAGTAGCGTAGTTTTCAAGGCTAGGAGCTTTTTTTTTTTTTTTTTTTTTCTTTGTTGTTGTCTGTCGTTGGTCGTAATACGCTTGCTTGCTAATGGAGGAGCCGCATCTACACTAGTGCACTAGAACGGGCGACAGCCATTTTGCTTGCAAATGAAAAGAGCCTTGGGAATGGCAAACACTCCCTGCCTTTATTGCGCTGGCCTGGCAAATACGAGAGTGACAAGGAGAAACGCAGGGCGAAGTCGGTAGTGGTTGACGTGGGAAAAGGATTGACGTGTTCAACGCCATTCAGCCACGGTGGAGCTGCTCCAGCAATTAAGCACCAGACTTGGTGGTTTTGCGTGTTTACATGAGACTGTTAATTTTGCTATGCACGTGCTAAGCCATGTGCTTGTTGCACAAAGATGCAGTTTCCAAGACTATTGAGGCATGTGATGGATATGGCAAGTCAGAGAGAGTGTTGCCGTCTGTCTCGGTGAAAAGGCTTGCAACAATCTAAAAATCATGATTGATGCCTGAATGCAGTAATTGCAATCACCTCGCGCGAAGGAATCGCACCAGCATGGCGCAAAGCCTAGCTCTCAGCCACCGGGTACCAACGACTGGACGACGACGCAGCAGCATCTCAGCCACCATTTCATAGATAAGCTTTTTGCGTAGTCCAGGGCGCCACATCATGCCATGGCTGCAGCAGAACGTTTCGAAAGGATTTCCCTATTCCGCCTAGGAAGTCAATGCTACGCAAGCACCGGTAGTTGAACCTTTTTTGCCGAAATACTACCTACCTAGGCAGAAGAATAATACCTATATACTTGTACTACAGCGTACTGTACCCGTACAGGATATATCTGTCATAAATCACATATATATCCGCTCCCAGCTTTTGCTGCTCTTCTCGCTGCTCTTGGCTCTTCATCACAGCCCTATAACCCTTCCAGTAATGTATATCAATAGATTGTGTTTGGCATTGAGATACATCTATGCATCCTTGGACAGCTCTACGGGATTCAAGGCTACCATCTCCCAAAGCCGTCAGTACAACACAAGCGAGGATATCTACTCAAAAAGCTGCAAAAACTGGTCAGCCGGCTCTCGCATAGACAAATAAACGTCTGACATACTTGTATACTCGTATCCCACATTCCTAGGGTAACATTGCGCCAGCCATGACAAATGAAAGGTTGATATCAGGATGCATAGGTATGCATACATGCAGCCTTGGCATAGGAAGGATCACCAAGAGACGGGACACGTAGCCCATGAAAACTTTATATCAGACTCAATACACTACCCAAAATGTATTAGAGTAAATAAACCTAGCATTTGAGTTTCTTGGATACCATATTTTGCCCAAAACTCCTCATCAACAGCTGAGCCATACCTCTCAAAACATCATCATCACTAACAACAATACGAAACAAATCCATGCCCGAGCAGAAACAACAACATTTACTCAAATCTGCGAACAATAGTCCGCAGCCGGTTATTTCCCCATTCAGCCCAAAGAGGAAAACATTTGTGTTGGAGCTTTCTCAACAGCAAAAAAAAGGGAGAGAGGCTTCAAGGATCAATGTCTTACACGACCGCTCAGCTGGTAAACGACCCAGATTTAGCCCCGCTGCGTATCGCGTTTCCATCTCAGCTTACTTCGTTTTTTGCTTCCACGTGGGGAGACAATGCAAACGATAAATCTTCTATTCTTGTCTCACATTGCTAGACTTGACGCGGCTGTGTATCAAGGATCTTATATAACCACCGCTACTATGTATCCTGATAGTATACCGCTCACTACTAGTAAGCGCAAGGGGGGGTTTTAGTAAGGGAAATAGTAAGGGTACATATTTCTGGTTTGGGCTCTGGTCATAGTTTTTTCCTCTATAGTAAATATATCAGTGCCCAGTAATGGTCATCAGACAAGCATCAACTACTATAGCCCTTACCAACCTCCCCCCCCCCTCGGGCTGCTAGTAGTACGTAATATATTAGGGCTAAATGTCCTCTCCGCTACTATACATAAAAAACAGGTGTCTAATCTATCAACTCATTTTGGGATATCCTAGTTGATATCATCTGCGTCAGCATAGCATATTGTTGGTACATGTAGTTGGATGCCGATAGCCGGCAGCGATCGACTTGCCGAACTTCCCAATTAGGCAATCCCGATCTATCTCAATGAATTCATTCTCAATTCAAACAAATAAAAAAAAATATCTCAAACAGACGCAAGAAAAGTAAAAGATTCTCGTGATAATGGAGTCTCGGAATACCGGAATACGGACCAACAACACCCATCTTGCCTTCCGTTCCGTTTTGCCTACTTTAGATCCCATAGTACGGAGCACCGGCGCAAGTGCCCGTCCCGCTTCTGTGTCTGTAGTTACTACAAATAGAGCGTCTCTCGAACTACGAAGCACGGGGCAACGTACCCGGCCAGGCCAACATCATGGATACGTGTACAAGTATGTGCTGTAGTAAGTATGCCCATCATCATCAATTAACTGATGTAGGTATCAAGATTCAAGATTCGTTCGGGCTCTCTCAGCGCTAACAAGACACGACATCCTCCTATGTTCCTGCAGCTCGTTATATGATGCTGATGACATGACCGCCAGGCCAAGATAATGGTCACGTGTATACCCAATATCATCAACTAACTGATGTAGGCATCAATTTTCATTCAGGCTCCCTCAGCGCTAACAAGACACGACATCCTCCTGTATTCCTGCAGCCAGTTATGGAAAGTTGGTTACATAAGCGCCGTCTTCTCTTTCCACCAATCACAGCAGCGACTCTCGCCTCTTCCGGTTTAATTTCCGTCGCAGTGACGCCCCTAACCCGCACAGGCAAGAGCTTGAGTGCTTTGTGAAATGAGCACCTGCAAACAAACCTACAGTCAGGTGCCAAAAGTCTGGAAACGCTGTACTAGCTCTCACCAAATCTCATCGTTTTCAAAAATTGATAAATAATTCTAGAAAAGTCTCTATAAGAAAAAAATGATATGATTCAATTTTGAAATAATTAGATTTTATAATCTCAAGATTATAAATGTTTTTATCAATATTTACTCCAGCTGGTTGCAATGTAAATGGTAGAAAAATCCGCCCATATAAAGTTCGAGGCCTTTTTACTTTTTCGCGTTTCCAGACTCTTGTCCCTGACCGTATTTGCTCGTTTCACACTCATCGTGCGGCGTCTTTTTCTACCTCTAGCATCTTTACGCACAAGTTATTGTTTCTACTAAAACATCACAGCAAGATAGTGAGACGTGGGCAATCAAAATAATAAGTAACAAAATGTAAAAAATATTCTTGAAGAAGATGCTATAAGAAAAAGCACAATCGTTAAGTTTGATATCTCAGTTCGTGACCAAAAAAAATGCTTCGTTCAAAAAAGACATCCAGGACGAGACCCGCAGTCGGCTGTCTGACCAGATCGTCACCGCGAACGCCCGCGCGATTAGAATATTAAGTACACACTCCAAGGGGGTATAATCCCATATTTGCCGTAAAACTCTAGTATTATTGAAAATAAACTCTAGTCCAACTCTTTGTACATGTCCAGCCAGATCTCAAGAGGGATGCCTGTCGTGTGTATGTTGCCATGTCCCGCAGGCCTAATAACTCAAGAAAAGTTACAAGGAAATGATTTAAACAAGGAGCAGAGCGACGGCACCGGCAATGGCGGCGAAAGCGGCGGAGCCAGTGAAGGAAGCAGCGCCGTTAACGGGGGGAGGAACAGAGCTGGATTGAAGCAGTTAGCATACAAGTTGAATAAAAAAAAAAGAGGTTATATAAACTCACGTTCCGTTGCCAGCAGGGCCAGTGGGGACAGGAGGAACAGCACCAGTGCCAGAGGGGGCACCAGCACCGTTGCCGGGGGCACCACCAGCAGGGGCGGTAGCGCAAGGAGCAGCAACGGTCTGGTACTCAACAGAGGTCAGAACGGTGGTGTAGCTCTTGGTGACGGCGATGACGGAGCTGCCGGGGCACTGAGCGGCGGCGGAGCTAACGGGGGCACCGGGGGCACCGCCAGTGGGAGCAGCAACGCCGCTGGTGGGGAGCTGAGCCGGGATGGAGACGGCGGGGACAGAGACGGCAGCGGCAGAGCTGACGGGAGCGGCCGGGGCAGAGTAAGGAGGAGGAGCAACGACAGAGGAGTAAGGAGCAGTGCCGTTGGACCAGACCTGGGTGGTGGGAAGAGCCGGGGCGGAGGTGATGACCGGGCCGACAGCAGTGGAGGTAGGGACAACCTCGGTGGACAGGACGGTGCTGTGAGCCGGGCAGTTGGTGACCTCAGGGCCGCAAGAGGTGATGGTGTGGACGTTGGTCACGTAGAAGGTAGAGGTGGTCAACGGGATGTAGTTGGTCTGGACGGAGGTGGTCTGGTGGCGGGCCGGGCAGTTGGTGATGGAGGCAGCACACTGGGTGATGGTGATCAACTCGGTGGTGTAGTCGGTGGAGACGGGCTCCTGGGCGAGGACCGAGGTGGCCAGAACAGCGGCGGCGGTGGTGAAACGCATCTTGGATGATTTTTTGGGTTTTGGTGGTTCTTGAAGAACGAAGTAGTTTTGTTTGGGTTGAAAGAGTGGATGAAAGCGTAAAGCTTCGTTTGCAGGTTTGTTTTGAAAGAATGGACGACCGAAGTCAGAGCGAGCTGGCGATTATGCTTAGTGGGCTGGAGAGAAAAGAAGGAGAAAGAGAAGATGCTGCTCGACCGAGCGTGGCCTCATATTAATAGGCATATCGACATCGACCGTGAGCTCTTTGCGAGCGCTCGCCTCGCTGCGTCCCATTGGATACCCCGGGAAATTGCGTCCAGAATGGATGTCCATCTAGGGGGTTCCTGAGTGGATGTCTGGGTGGAGATGCTTGTCGCGCCAGTTTCATCCACCTCTTAGAATGGCCAAGATGGAGGGGTCCGCGAACCATCCCGGGCGCAAACCAGCCAACCCCTGCCTCTGATTTCTGCAGGTACAACATCGCTCCATACTGTGCGCCAAACGGCCAAGGCCAGCGTGCGAATGAGCGCATGAGCGCATGAGCAGCGCGGACCATGATGCTTGTTTGCGCTCCTGCGGCGGCAGCACATCAGCTCGCCATTGGACATGACCCTTGCTTTGGTATGTCTTGGGCCATGCTGTGCCAGCACCTGTGCTGTACGACGTAGACCTTCCACGGCAATGAGCGTTTAGGCAATGATGGCCAGGAGTGCGCGTGTAGGTATTGCCCGTCAATGAGTTGAATGAGGGGATATAGCAGTTGCAGTAGCTTGAGTAATGGAGGTACTCCAATAATCTTCTTAGACCAGTGCTAAAACTCACCGTCGTTAATGGTTCAATCAAGAGACATATGCCTTCATTTCAACCTTCTAAATTGGCTCTCGTCTATGAGCTGGAGCTTCTTCGGCAGCAATACCGCCTTTGGAGATAAGACGACGGAGTGCGCGAGAGAACACCCCCCCCTCGACTCTGTGCTAGTCACCGGCTTCATCGTTCCGCTGGCCACACGTTTGAGCATGCTTGCATTTAATCTCTGGAGTCAATAGTCTCAACTCGTACCTGCATACCGCACTTTGTACGGAGCACTCTGTGCTATTCTTGTACAGGCATCACCCTTCCGTGGCGATTCCAAAGTGACGCCGCAGAGGATCGAGGTCGATCGTCTCGGGAGGCGGGCCTTTGCGCCTGTGTTTTCGAAGCTCAGTCTCAAGTTGATCTTTTTTGTGGACTCTAAAAGGACTGCCTTTGATGACAAGTGCTGGCTGGCCTGTAGCAAGCCCAGCAGAATGCGCAGGGAGAAAAGAAGGGACCCGGCAGACTGCTGGGACTTGCATGAGACTGACCAGATTGGCGAAGTTGGCTCACCCTCACCACCGAGCAAGTGAAGCATTGTGAGACCAGCCGTCTATCACAACAGAGTAGCGAGTACGGAGTACTATTCAAAATTTCATTCTCCAAGGATATTTCCAGTACACGGCTCCAAGGAAGCGCTGGCACTAGGAGTGCCTGTATTCGCCCTCGTCTCTGCTGCCGGGGGGATGATATCGAGGGGATGTCGCCGTCTATCCCAGCATCTAACCTTCCTTTCGCGGACATCACATTCAGCGGCAGGGACGTCTTTAGACGCTATATCCAGCCCAAATCTTCTCATCACTGCGCCTTGTCACTATAGTAGAGAGCGCTGTAGTGGCTGCTGTCTGCTCCCTATTAGCTGGCCGGGCAATCTGCGCATCTGAGCGCTTGAAATATATCTCGAAGTCCAGACATTGGAGTCAGTGAACTTCATTGCCTCATATGGACATATTTGTTGGCCGCGTTGGTCTGCTTGGGCCATGTCTTGGCAAAGTTCCAGATCTTTCCAAACAAAACAGCATACCGGTACAAGCGATGCCATCGTGTGCCAGGGGCAATTGGCCCCTGTCATTTGATGCTCGCAGCAGAGCAGCAAGGAGTGAGTGCAGGGACTGGTACGAGGTACTGCCGGCAGCCTCCCCACGTGTACCGTGTTGGCCAAACACTTGGTACGTTACAACACGACCCTTCTACTGTCCCTTCCCAAGTACCATACAGTAGTAGCGACAAGTGTGTAATATGGTCCTTCGCAAATGAAGATTGCACATTTGCCACACACTACCCGTATAAACCATAGTAGCGTAGGTAGCACAGCAGCAGTGCTCCATATACCTGTGCCCTTTATTCTCCTGCTAGGGCATGCCAGGTCTCTTTGCTGACCGAGTGGGTCGTCAGACACATTTCGAGCTTAGAGTGCTGCTAACATCAACCGAGTAGGAGGAATATACTCCTGGATAATGACAGTCCTGCTCCGTATCAGTACTCATGCCAATACGGAGGCTTCTTCCAATCCAAGTATTCTTCTAGAAGAAGGCGTTGCAAGGGATGAAACAAGCGGTGAATTCACA